AGCAGGAACCTTGACTTAGGCATTTCTGTACCTAAATTTGGAGCATCTCAATTCAAAATGATAATGGCTAGGTGCCTAGGAGCCCCATAAAGTCAACAGAGAGACTTCTAGGGATGTTAGAGATGCTGAGAGGTAGTCAGAAAATGGGGTTAGGGGGTGGAAGCTGGGGAAGGAGGACAGAAATCCCACCCCTCTAAGAAGCGTAGGCACCAGAGGGCCCCAGGACATTACCAGGGATCCTGTTTTTCTCTGATAAAAAAAAAATACCCAATGTTTGGTTTAAAAAGTAACCCCAAATCCACATTTTCCCATGATTTAAATGAAACACCACTAATATATGGATACAGACACAGTGATGTTTTATTTTAATCATGGAAAAATGTGGATTTGAGGTTACTTTTTTTTAACTGAAAATTGGGGATTTTTTTAAATCAGAGAAAAACAGGATCTGCGGACATTAGGTATAAGTTGCAAGTAGTCTCTTAATCACATCTTAACTAGGGACCTGGCCACACTTTCAGGGAATTAGTGGCATCACAAAAAGGGAAATTAGCCACAAAATTATTACACAGATGTAGATGTGTAATATATTTGTGGCTGGTCTCCATCACAGCTTAAATTGAACGTGTGGCTTCCAGCTATGCCACCAAGCACACCTCCAGCTGGCCCCAGTGCAGTTCTTTCTGCCCAATGATCAATTGGTCCTGGTGTAGTCTGGCCAGCAATCAGCTGATTGGTAGTTGGTTCCAGGACCACACTGGGTTTCATGATCCCAGGCTTCCCCTGCACTGCCAAGTAGCATGTAATTGGAATCTACTTGACAACTCCCAAAGTAATGCATGCTGCTATCATATATGTCATGGCAGAAGGCACAACTGTTGGGATCAGGGATCAAATCCCATTGTACCTTTAAATGAATGTCTGCCAGCAGCCTGACTCAAGATATCTATCAGATATCTAATAGGCACCTATTTCACCCTGCTCAAGTCCCTGAAAAACAGTTAAGACAAAGCTGGATGGATCCTCCTCCTTCTCACTGTTTTTTGCAACTTAGTCTTAAGGCTAAGGTGGTGGTGTGACACAATAGTATGTGTGATGAACTTTTTTCAGGAACTTGAGCAGAGTGGAATATGATCTTGCTTAGACACCTAAGTCCATGTAGATGTGTATAAGTAGGGACCTACTCAAATTATGATTTCACATTTTTTGCAGAAACCACTATTGAAGGCAGTTTCTGTGAAAAGGCATTCCCTGCAAGTTTCAGTGGAATTGCTGAAAAAAAATCTCACTGAAAATAAAATGCTGGCTCCCCAAGGGAAGCCAGCAGTTCTCATGGCTGCTGGCATGCAGAAGGGGATCCAAGATGGTAGCCACCCCCTCCTACCTCCAATGCTGTTTGGCTGAAAGGGCTGCCCATTGTGCAGCCCTGCCCCTCTCAGCCGATCAGGAGAGAGGGGCAGAACCACATGAATGGCAGCCCTCTTGGCCAATATGTGATAAGGGGTGTTGGTACCACTGGGTCCCCTCAGCCAATTGGCAGTGTAGGGGGCCTCACTGTGAAAAACCATGAAAATGGTGGCAGGCGCCACCATTGGCCTGAGAAATCACCCACCTGCCTTCTCAATTTTGGTAGGTCCCTATTTATATGGTAGAATAGGATTTGATCCTTGGTAAATATTTACAAGTATGATAACATGACAAGGCAAACTGGCCTGATTTACAGTCATTAGGAAGAAATACAGTTGCCAAATGATTTGGTCCTAACTCATCATGCCTTACATCATTTTAAACCTATTTGGAAGTACTCAATCACATTTCTGAGTTCAGGTCTCATCACTTCATCAGAAACGAAAAAATACCTCCCATAAGTCAATTGCTCTACATGCTATAGTGCTTGAAAGTGACAAGCAGAGAATTGGGTTTTCTGTGTGCTGCAGAAAAATGCGGAAAAATGAGGATTTTTTCCTTTAAAGGTAGAGCTGTGGCCTGGTAAGTGCGCAATGTGCTCCCCAGTCTGTTACTCCTTGCACTGCTGGCAATGTGGCTGGTGCGGGGGTCCTGGCAGTGGAAACAAATCTGACCTCCTCACTCCACCCTCCCATACCAGGTCCTGCCCATTGGGCTGTGGAGGCAGCACCCACCTGTGCCAGTCTGGCCAGGCTGTAGCCCTGTGCCCCACTTTGGACACATCTAAATCTAAATATATAGGTATTTAGAATTAGGTATTTAGAAAATATATAGGTATTTAGAATTTATTTTATTATAATGATTGAGGCACTGGTAGGCTTCCAAATTTCTTTAAAATTGTAAATATATCAATAAAACATTGTGTTAAACTGATACCTATATATAATGGTGTTTCATTTTAATCACAGAAAAATGCAGATTTGGGGGTTTTTTAATCAAAGAATTTTTATTAGAGAGTTTTATTAAAGATTTTTATTAGAGAATTTTGGTTATTTAAACAGAGAATACCAGGATCCATGATGATGAGGCTTTTTCATCACAATGAATAATTCAACTTCATGTAAACATTTCTGTCTTAAGGATAACAACTTGGCTTTTTATGCAAGTTTCCAGACAGTTAATTTAAAAACAAACGTAGAACTGCTGATCTTTTGA